CCATACTCCACATCCACATCCACACTCACACCCACACCCCACACCCACACCCTTCTATTGCTAGTCTTAAAACTATACAGAACATACCCAAATGATATGGGAGTAGGTGTGAGTGTGAAAAATGTTTTCTACAAATTATAGCTAAGGACATCAAGACCCGGACGCACATTCCACACCCCACACCCAAAATACTTACACAAAGTTAAACGACATACTAAAGATATCACAAATCACAAACAAATCCATTTCAGCATGAAAAATCTTACAGAAATCCAAGTAATATTGTCAAAATGACGGGTGGAAAGAGCGAAAACTTATTCATCATGTATTTTTACTTATTAATATTGACTCGATATTTTTTCGACAAATTGGACAAAATCCATATTCTTGTTGCATTCTAGTAGCGCAATCGAAACAAAATCCATGGTGCCCGCATGGTACAAGAGTATAGTCTTTTTTATCTGCCATACAGATAACGCAATCATCGTCATCACTAATATTATTATCTACAGATACCTCTGTTACTGATGCTTCAGCAATAGTGCGTGAAACAGGCATTGACCTATTAGTCAATGCGATCATGTTTAGTTCATTCTTACATGATTTACAAATGGTGATGACAGAGCTAGCAGTTTCGATAAGTCTTAAATACGATCTTAAATACCTATAAGCTATTTTTTCCTCTAAATTCTTGGGCATCATTTTGAGGCAACAATCGCAAAGATTGGCTTGAGAAATGCGAGGACGACTCTCAATATGTGCTTCTTGCAATAAAGTTTTGAATTTCACATACTTTTCCTCTGGAGTTTGTTTAAAACAATTCACAAATTCCCTTGTCAAATTAGTGAAATCCTCTAATTCTTTTGCGCTAGGTTGTTGAGCGTCATTGCTTACAAAATCACCATCCCAGACTACTGTAGAAGGTCGTCCAAACAATGATGTAATCAAAGACATATTTTTGATTCCTTCAGAAGTGCGATGACGTGGGTGTGAACCTTTATTTTGATAGCAAAAAACGGAAGTACCAGAGGCACTTGTACCATGCCCAGTGTAACGTGCTTCGCAAGGTTTATAATCGTCAAGTATTTTCCACATGAGCAGCATTTCCGTTTTACATGTGTCCTGTATAAAACGATCGGAAAGAATTTCTTCTTGTTGAAGTAATTTGATAGCTACATTTCGTGAAAGAACTCTCATAGCAAAGTTTCGACAGTATTGATAGAATTCCGGTTTTCGAACATCTCCATTGAAATATAAATGTATGAAAATTTTTTTAACGATTGACTGATTGTCATTATCTATTGAACTAGTTATCTCAGAAAGTAAACTATGCATCGAGACTGATTTTCCATTAGAAACACTAGCTAGAACACGTTCTAATAAAAATAACCATTGTACATGTGTAATTAAGCGTTCTCGATGTCTCAAAATAATGTCTGAAATAAGATTTTTCAAAGCAGCAAGCTGCCCGTCGACTACAGCCTCTCCAACCATTCGAACACCTTTTACCTTCTGAGTCTGTCCCATATGCGGTAGACGCAAACAATAAATTTCAGAGAAATATTTTTTCATGTCGTCGGCTTCTTTGCGATGAATATAAAAAAATTCATCGGTGACATCTTTGATGCCAAACTTTTTGACTAATGAGCATTTGTTCTCAATTATAATCAAAACTGGCAAATATGGAATATTGCTAATGTTCGTATTTGCACTTAAAGTAAATTCATAACAGCGACTAAGAAAATCAGCCGAAATAAGTTCCTCTGTACCTATCAGAATGACAATATTACTCAAAACATAAGCCAACTTAGGAAAATATTCAGTCACCGCTTTACACCGCTCCTTTCCGTAATCACTATTTAAGTCAATTCGTTCAGTGAAGAATCCTCGTGCATGTAGCATCAAAGGAAATGATGATCCTTTCTCACCTTCATAGTCTAGCACCAGCATTTTCTCTGCTAAGTCCTTCGGTGCTCTGCTCTCAAAACAATTAATATTTCCCGTAGTACTACTTTCCATCTTGTTTTCGTCAACAAGTTGTGGGCCATATTCGGTATTTGTTAACAGACGTTTTGTCACAAAACTTTTACCAACTGTCGTATTACCCACTAGGCTAAGAACAAATACGCCGTTTCTATTTGATATTTCATCTTTTTCGGTTGCTTTCTGCCACTGAGTCGCATAACCATATCCTAATGAAAGAGTCCATTTTTCAGCAACAACATCTCTATGAAGCGATACTAATTCACCATCTTGTTCACGTATGGCAGCTGCAATAGTTTGTTCATCTATAATAAGATCTGCAAAATTTTTGTTTTCAGTTTTTTCTTTCTCGATCTGTACTGTTGATTCTGGTATTGTCTTTGGTTGTGCCATATTTTATCTAAATGAAATAAAGAGGTTGTATGGATGATTTCTTAATATCGAACTACTGCTTATATATAGACTACAAAATATTATTTTTTCTTGCTCTTTTACAATCAGACATATCGCTAAGATATTTAGTGCTCGCAGTGCTGTGCTCTTCTTTGCTTCTGAGCGAATATTAAATCTCCTTTTGAGTGCTGTCAAAAGTTGTAACTTGAATTCAATCGAAATACTATTGTTCAAATCTCAACATTCTATCCGTTATACTGACACTCTGCGAAGTACTCTTCCAATCGTTCCGTACCGAAAAGTTAAATTTTGAAAGTTGAAACCTGAAATTTCAATGAAATTCAAGTTTCAAGTTCTACATATATGTAGTAAGTCTTTTTTCATATTGTTTTTCAATATATAACCATAATGTGTAAGTAGCTCTGTAGTAAGAACCTCACGTTGCAGACGTATTCTTTGAAATCTCATATTTTATTTTAACTTTTATTTTTCATTCAAGTTCAGGTGTTTTTCTACTCCAGTTTCGAAGATGGCGATATCTCAAAAGAGAAAATATGTTTTTTACGAGTTTGGATGTTTTATAAGGGAATCTTATATGTGTGTATGTCATATGTGCAAAATAAAATTTCGACTTTTTTTCAGTACTTCTGTAAAACATGACTCATCGTGGATATATAATAATACACGTATAAAAGGAAACTCTCCACTGTTGATCCATATACTGGCCAACATGTTAACATGCCATGTTTAATTTTTTGCGATCAATGATTTAAAATTTCAATGATGGGTGTTTTTATTCATACAGACATTAATAAGCAATTATTGATTAGAAAAAAAAATAATTATATTAAATCATGAAAATAACCGAAAATGAAAACAACACAGAAAAGCTGCTAGCTGCAATCTCTGTGGGATTAAAAATGTGAAACACGATAAATCTGTCGTTGATAAACAAATAGAAATAGCTTGTTTTCTGTGTTTTCAGGATATCTTTCTTTACAATCCTGTATTTAGTGCTTTAGAACTGTACTAAACAAGTAGTCAACATATTGTAATGATAGTCTATCGATATAAGATTTTTAACCTATTTCAAAAACGTGTATCCCACTCTTTGATGGATTTTAAGGCTCTCTCTCATGGTCTGTGATAGGTCTAAAACCTGTTCGTAACGGTCTATGAGAGGAGGAGGGGGAGGGGGAGTGAGTCCAAAATTTGTACCCTAAACACTTAAACACTCCTTTCAGATTGTGTTTCACAATAGTGTAAATTTGAAAGAAAAAAAAAGGATGCTCAAAAAAAAATCTCGTTTGAAGATCTAGAAATAAGATAGATTCTTACTCTGGTGATCCGTCAGTTTGAAAAATAAGTATAGTTCTTGAGAAATTTTTCATTTTACGCATTTTAAAAGGTTTACCGAGGCTAAGACGACATACGTGAGTTCCACATTTTAGCCCCAAAAGAGCTACTCTGAACAACTTTTTACGAGGAAAAACTGAATCTCTAATGTATTGCTTTGTAGACCAATAGCAGAAAGCAATGAATGAGAAATGCCTACTTCACTTTTTATTTCGTTTTAGAAACAAATGCGAATAACAATAGTGTCTGCTTTTCTTACCTAACTTGATCTTTTACATGCTGGCAGATAAAATATCAAATCTGACACTTGCGAAAAACTAGTAATTCTATATGTGTGAATTCCTTACTTGGTTTCTGTCTTTATCCGAGCTTGGTGATATTCACGGGTACTGAAGTGTATTCACACTTGGTAACTTTGTGAAATTCTATCTAAAAAGAATTTTAAAGTACATCATGTAGAAATTTAGACCTTCTAGATCATGGCAGATAGCAGTCACAGATCGTAAAAGACGTTCTTGACAAAGGATCAAAGAGCTTATGCCAATAACGTCTCGTTACTGTTAGCTTTCTCTTCATTTTAGTAGAAAAAAAAACCTACAATTCAAAGAAAAGAATAAAAAAACAAGAATAAACAACAAAAACAGCAAAGTTATCTGACTCTCAAGAAGAGAGAAAAACAACCAAGTCACATAATCATCATACATGTACACACTGGAAGAGAAAAAGACACAAGAAACATTGCTCATATGTATACTCTAGAAGATTACGTAAAAGAAATGTGAAAAACTTGCTTCAAGAATATACAGAGAGTAAAATATATTTCTATGATTAGCAGCAATAACTGCATCGAGTTTCACATTTTAGCTTTCCAGGCATTGTGTTAACAGTTTTCATTTGTGACCTAACCCTGCAGATGTAACAGCTGCTTTGATATTGTTATTTTACCTTCGATTTTCTCAGAGACATATTATCGTAATATTGACTTCTGAATATATGTCCTCTCTTAATCTTTTTCAGTGTGACGTAATAACTCTTGTCGATTTTATTGGTCTTTTATTATCAAGATTGTTCTCCTCTCTTATCTAATTCGATGCTTTTTCCTGTGGCTTATAGCATGTTCTGCTTTTTTTAATTGTTTTCTTTGTGACATTATATTGCTTCTTGAATTGATATTTGATGGATTACCCTTAGTTATATTAACGTTATTTTGTTTGAATGTGGATGCGACTGCATTGGATATTGATATCTGACTGAAGGAGAGGGTTTAGGACAATATGTCAATACATGTGGATTAGGTTTTGTAAAAAGTAGAGTTTCATACTCACACTTAGTAACAACTCTCAATGAGACCTGGATGGAAAATGAAGTTAAAAATGGATTAATAATTACCACCAGCACTTATTAATCATGGATAACATATTCTGCGTCGTTGTACGGTTGGTAGAAAAATTCTTTATTAGACCAGCGCGGCCAAGCGACACTATCATGATACCTCTTTCATTTGTCAGTCCATTGTGTCTTCTTCAAACAGTTTGCTTCAGACTCAACTTTTTACATTACTTATCTAACATGCATTCTTTTTCTATACTTTTATTCTTTTCTGATTCATACATGGTTTTGTTCTCCTCCTATATCTTTTTCTTTTCTTTCCTACCCTTTCTTTGTCACCATACTAATTGCTTTATCATTTTTTACAACTTCGAATGTGGTGCGTGCTTGTGACTGTGAGGCTGGTTTGTCGCAACTACGATACTCACCTGTATTCATAGTCGCACTCTTAAACAAGTAATTATTTCATTAAGGGTGGGTGTGGGTGTGTGGGTATGAGTGTGGGTGTGGGTGTGTGGGTATGAGTGTGGGTGTGGGTGTGTGGGTGTGCGTGTGGGTGTGGGGTGGATGTGGGTGGGTGTATGGGTGTGGGTGTGGGTGTAGATCTTCTGTTCATTTGCACCACACCCACACCCACACTCACACCCACACTCACACCCCACACCCCAGACTCACACCCGTGCGTGCTGTTTTGTTATCAACATCTCAAGAGATGTATGCACTTCGAAGAGAACACGGCCGAGTTTCTCTGTTTGTTAAGAAATGATATGGCACAAAGTGGTCCACGATGACGATGTCAAAAAAATATCATCTGAGTCATACTTATGAAGAAGAACACGACCATTAATAAACTATCTCATTTTACCTGAGTTGAAGACAAAAATGGTGACAAAAAGTTTATACTGCTGTTTCTTACTCTTTACTATCAGGTAATTGGCAATTGTTCTTCGATTTATCTCAAAATATTAAAAATAATCTCTGATTTTAGTCTGTCAGGTATTGTTGTCGCTGCTTCTCACATGTTCAGTCTCTAATTCTATCTGTTGACAGCTCAAGTCGAACCTCAACAATGTCATGGGTTATCTCAATACGATCAATGTTCGACGAATAGCGCATGTGCTTGTTTTCATTCTAGGCCTGTTGATGATAGTGGCATCTGTGGTTTCCGCTGGTTAATATGTTCTGAACTTGTTTCATGTATGCCTAACACCGACATATGCTTCGAACCTGACCATGTTTGTGTTCATCACCCTGAGTGTGACAATTCATCATTGTGTTATCCGTTGTCGATGGCCAGCCAAGAACTATGTCCGCCGATGTCATCAATAACAACAAGTGAGTCGAATTACAATATTTTTACAAGTTAAATAGCGATCGGATTCTGCTGTATAATTCAATGTTATTGATTTCCATCACCATTTAGATCATTTAACTTCAACTCCTCCTCCGGAATCGACCAGTGAAATTTGTTTGACGGCGACGTGGGCTACGAATGGAATCACTGTTGCTGGTGGAAAGGGTTTCGGGTCCAACCTCGATCAATTGGCTGATCCTTATGGAATTTTTCTTGATACTAACGATACTATTTATGTGGCAGATCGGTCTAACCATCGTATCGTCACATGGGAACAAGGTGCTTCGATTGGTCAGCTAGCTGCTGGCGTGAAATGGGAAACTAACCGCAATATGTTATTAAATATGCCGCAGGATGTTGTTGTTGATCGAGATGGAACCATGTACATTACTGATGGAGGTAATTGGAGAGTTCAACGATGGCCTCGTGGTGCTCAAGAGGGAGAAACGATGGTTGACAAAATCCAGGCTGTCGGTATAGGACAAGATGACGAAGGATCAATTTATGTGTCTGAGTACGCAAATGGTCGATTGACAAAATGGCGTGTGGGTGAGACGACTGGACAAGTGATCCCTACAAAATTACATCATTCGAATTTTTTGTTTGTGGATCAAGACCGATCTATCTACATCGTGGGTTATATAAATCACCAAGTTGTGAAAGTAACTGAAGGAAATGAAGAAGCCGTTGTTGTTGCAGGTCGATCTGATAACTCAGGTAATGATGCAGACCAATTAGCTTTTCCAACAGGTGTTGTTGTGGATCAGTTGGGTACTGTCTATGTAGCCGATACTCAGAATCATAGAATAATGCGTTGGCCGAAAGGAGCAACATCAGGTAGTCTGATCATGGGTGGTCATGGGCCTGGTCCTGAATCCGATCAACTTAATTATCCTTCTGATTTATCATTTGATCGATATGGAAATCTATATGTGACGGACACGCTCAATAATCGTGTGCAAAAATTTGTCATCGACAAGAGTTCATGTGAAAAAAAATGAGGAAAATACATTCTTTTCCCGCAATTGATTATTGCTCTTTTATATGCATACAAGATGAAACAGTAGTAAATCAATAATATAAAGCTCTTTCATGCTATCATTTGTCTTTCTCTAAATATCATAATACGATCCCAATAAAGTTGCTTTCACGAATCCATGAATTAATAGCGTTGATTTTAAGACGATGTTGGATCGAAGTAGATTTGCTTCTCTCTCTTTTTTTTATTTGTTTATTGTTTATAAAACTCTCAATCCTGATTTGAGGCACTCTCAGCAATACAAATGACGGTTAGATGAAATCAAGATGAAAATGGGTCGACTAAAGAACGACAATTCGATAAAAGAAATGGGATCAAAATGAATTCAATTTGGAGCATAATCTCTGATTCTATTCAAAGGCAATGAACAATGATTGAATGTTAACAAAGTGAACGAATTTGAGAATGAGAATGAGGATGAGTAGAATAGTATAGCTTTAAGAGTTCAAAAATAAGTCATCATATTATTGATCCACAGGATTACAGATGAATCTAAACAAATGCATCCACATGGATATGTCCCAACAAGTACGAAAGACTTGTTAAGTAAAGATCATACAACCAAAACAGGTAAGAATCGAACATGGAGCTTCTGATAACATATTGGTTGGTCTAATGAAGTTATGTGCTGCACAAAAAATGATGATTTATGTCCTTTTAATCTCTTTATATACTTCAGAATCCACAATAGCGATTAGTACAAAAAATTGTTTTCTTTCACTTCCTATGACAATATATTCTTAATCACTTTTGTTATTTTGAATTTTAAGAACAGGAACATGAAGAAGTTTGTTAGAGTGTTAGTTGTTTACTGTGAAACGTCTTTTAGATGCAGAAACCTTTTACGTTAAGCAAAAACTTGCCAGTATGGCCTCACGATGGTCCAAAGTGTGGAAGAGTGTGAGGTGTGAATGGATGTACGTGGTGTGCCCTGCCTAATCTCTCATACTCACACCCTCTCAAAATATCAAAGAAAATATCTGAAAATGAGAATGTTAGTAGTATTGTATATGCACATTTCAGTCAGGTTGACTACTTGAAATTTGGTAGATTCTTATCATTCTCAAGTGTCTTTATTATTATCATTTCATACATTCATCTTAGATTTGTTCGTGTGGTTTGTGTTTATTTATTTTATTTGCTTTGAGTTTTTTCCATTTTTCAACGAGTCCAATAACAACTTGATATCGGAGCGGTTTCATAGCATTATTACAAGATCATAAACTAATTAACAAGTAACGTTCGTCGCTTCGACTCACTTAACCCTCGACTGAATAAGGCAGAAGTATTTTTTGCATATACTGATAGCGACAGGGTGGATCTCAAGTCTATCTCTAAATTGCGATATGAGTTCCTCCTCTTGAATTGTAAAAGTGCGAAAAACCGTTTTGTTGTTTTCTAATATAATTTTAATATGAATCTCATTTTTCAACTAAAATTCATAACGAAAGTCACATTATCTCTATCTAAGTCAACTTTAATTAATATACCCTTTTAGTACACGAAATGGTATGTATTGTAAGATGGTCATGTAACGAACCATGTTAACTCAGATTGGTAATGCGTGCTTATACCATAGTTCTAAGAATCTTTAGATTAAAAGTTTCATTTTATTGACAGCATACAAGCATAATTGATTTATTTGTAATAATGAACGCGTAAAATGAATAAAAAAGAAATACTTAAAAAACATCATTCTATAATAATGGACTTTAAAAAACGAAAAAAAAGCAAAATAGATAACAATACGGAGAGAACAATTACAAGATGAGTAGCAGAGGTCCAACCAGGCCACGTTTTTTAGGCCTGGCCTGTCTATATTCTTTATATATATAATCTTCTTTTCGATATAATTTTTTTTAACAAATTCAAGGTGGTGCTAGTGATCAGTGGGACTATGGAATAATGTTGTGTCTTTATTCTGATTGATCGAAATGATGACTCATGTTCAGCTCAAATCGCGTAGTTCATCTTTTTTATCTATTCACTCTTTATGTTCTCATTTATCTGTAGTTTTTTTTTTATTATTGATTGCTGTTAAAATCTTTCTTATCAACTATTCTTCAGACATTGTTTTCGATATCAGTAACCCTGGCCGTGGTCGAGAGATCATTTTCCGCTGCCAGGTTAGCTGTAACCGAACGTGGATCTTCTGCCAGTCCTCAAACGTTAAGGGGCTTCCCCCCTCCCCTCAGAAAATCGATTTTGAGATAAGCACATATTCTGAAAGCCGAAAGTGCCCTCTTTCAGATTCTATACGATTTGTTGTACTTTGAGTGGTCTTTGGGGGTAAAAATGGCGGTTTTCTAGAAGCAGTAGTATATAAATATAAGAGTTTTTCAGCAATATTTCTTAGTTACGAGGATGTGACTGTGGTCAAAAAGTTTGTAAACAGTTGATAATGATAAATACATATAATTTCTGTCATTTTAATTAATTAGAGCAATATGGCGAGTTTTTAGAAGGATGCTTTATAAATGACGAGATTGCAGTATAGAGGTCATGACAGTCATAGTCAAATTAAAAATTGTAAACAGATTTTTATTCAATTATGTCACTTAAAAAGAGAATTTTACACTGATTTCAAATATGTATAACACTGATTACTTTTGTCGCATGCACATCCGTTTACATATCTCACAAACTTGTTGATTCGTTTTCTCAAAGTCACTTTTTTGGAGAGTTCGGAACAGATTTCTCAGACTGCAGAAGAGCTAGCGAGCCACCGTTTTTTTTTAAATAAAAGAATTGGCCTATGTCTAGAAATGTATATAGCGTTTTTTTGGAAATTCGATTCTCTTGTCGAGATAACTGGATAACACTGATGTCAAAAACTGCTAAGTTCCGAGTTATTGCAGAGAATTGTCTCGGAAATCTGAACAATATCGAATTTCGAAAAAAAACGGTACATAAATTTCTAGATATAGATCTCTTCTTTTAATTAAAAAAAACGGTAGCTCTCTACCTACTCGACAATCCGAGAAGTCGGTACCTTACGAAGACCACCATTTTGAAGACTAACTTATCCATAACTCTTTAAAACAAAAATCTTACGAATCAAAAATTTGCGAGAAATTAAGGTAACGCAACACACATATTCCCTGAAAACTTCTGCCAAATCGGCCCACGAATAAAGACAAACGATTCCTGAGAAGGGGGGAGGGTCCCTTAAATGACATCCTTTTTCTGAGATCTATTCAAAACATTCTTGAACAAAAACAGGACTTTTTTTCTTAATATTACTTTCTCTGTTGTTCTTTTTTTGTATGAAAACTTCGATAAATAAAAGATTAATTTAGTCATTTTAAATTAATTAAAGTGATTTCCTTCATTCTCAACATTAACTAAATGTTTCTATTCTATCATCGTAATGATATTGATATAAAAGAAAAATAGACAGGCCAAACAAATAAGTTGGCAGGCACAGGCAGGCTTGGAATACAGAGGCCTGCCACAGGCCGGCAAGGCCTACAAAAACGCAGCCTGGTGGAACCTCTGATAAGTACTAACAATAACATTGTCTGAGTTATGCTTCTGATTCAAGAATTTAATTTCTTTTAAACAAAAAGAAAATAGAATTACAATGATTGTTTTTCATCGTGAAAGTTGTGGTGAAGCAATCGAAAAAGTCAAGTCGATAAACATACACCAAGTACATGTCGACGAGTACCAACAGATTTTTGTATTGATTGAGGAAAATATTTTACGTATGATATGATTTATTTGCATTATTTTATTATTATTATTTCTGTCATCTTTTATATAAATTATATAGCACCAACAAATATGAATAAAGGCGAAAAGAAACAAAATCAATGATTTGAAATAACCTGCATGTAAAAAGTCTTTGCACAAAATATATCTTCAATCTTCTTTCACTTAAAGGTTGGAAGAGACAAACAAAAGTAGTCAGCTAGAGTGAGAATTTTATGCTCTTTTTAAGTGCATATTCAGAATTTTTTTCCTACTTAAAGCTGATTCAATAAGAGCAAATTTTCGAAGGGAACCAAAAACGACGTTTGTACAAAACACTAGTTTCAAAGGTCTTAGTGAGAATGTTTAAACATTTTTTGGACCTTTAACTGTAATTGAAGGGGATCGAAACTAGTTAGGTAGAACCAGAATTCGATACTCTTTTAAAATGTGTCGTGCGAACTTGACTCTGACTTACGACTAGTTAACTATAAATAAATACCGTACTAAATAAAAAATGTCGTTTGTGCTACGCAAAATAAACTTTTTTCTACGATGTGCAATTTCTCGAAAGAGTATTTTGGAATAGTTTTTCCATTCTAGTTTTGCAGAGAATTTCATGCTCTATAAAACTATGGATTCCGATGAGTTGTATCTCAAAAGAGTCAAAATCTGAAAACAGTTTTCCAAATACTGTTCGATAGCTGAGATCACATTTTTCAAAATAATCGGTTTTTGAGAAATTCAACATGTATAATACTATCGATTCTAATGATTTTCAGTGATGTGTAGAAAACGAAGCAAAGTGTTCATTTTGTAGAGCAAGCTTCGTTCTACAAACTAGCGTATAAGACGACTTTTTTATAACTAGAATTACGGCACTTTTAATCAATATACAAAAATGCACTGCATAAAAGCTTCTGTACAAACGTCGTTTTTGGTTCTCTTCGAAAATTTGCTCTTATCGAATCAATTTTAAGCCGGAATAAAATTCTAAATATGCACCTAGAAAGAACATAAAATTCTCATTCTAGCTAACTACTTTTGATTGCCTCCTCCAATCTTTAATTGAAAGAAAATTGAAGATATATTTTGTGCAAAGACTTTTTACACGTAGGTTAGTTCAATCAGCTATTAATCTGAATTCTGATAGTACACAAGCAAAATTATTTTTCAAAAAACCTTCAATATTATCCAAATATACCACGGAAATGTACAAAATTTATTGTAAGTTTTTCTTCTTTTTTTTTCGAATTATTTATTAAAAAT